CACCTCTCTACCACCAAACCATAATCGAGGGGGCGGGGGCAATGCATGTCCCGCGACACTTTGCCGATGAGCTCGCCGTCAAGATCATCGACCGCGTGCCTCGTTGGTGCGCATGACGCGTCCATAAACCAGTGAAGGCTCCAAGTCCGGTGGTAGGGCTACTTGGTGATAGGGTGGAGTGCAAGTACTTGAGGAGCAAGTGCCCCAAGTGGATCCACGCGAACAAGCGGTGGACCGGCGGCAATGACAAGATGATGAGTACCAGTTAATAAGGCAATGAAGTTGCACCTTTGTTGATATGAGTAGTCTATCATTCCTACGGAGCTATAGTGTCATAATACACAACCCAGGTGACACAAAGCTTTGGAACCCTTAAAATTTGGCACAACATGCATGTTTATTGTTTAGTACTCACTTCGGATACATGTTGTCCACACACATATATGAAACTATGGTTCTAAGCAACTATACAAAAGAAAGTTGCTTAGACTTAGAAAATAGTACTATTTTTGTCTAGATGTGATTTCGCTAATTCTAGGCCTATTTGATTGACTAGCAAAGGACATGTGCGTTGCAACGGGAATAAACACAATCTCCAACGGCCATGACCATATTTTGTTGCAGCACCGAGACACACTATCACTCTAAAATTCATGAAATCATGAACAATTTTAAACTAATGAACTTTGAAATTTAAATATTTTTAAATTTGTGAACACTATTAAAAAACCAAACATTTTCTAAAATTAAGAACATTTTTTTGAATTCATGAACATTTTATACTATTTGCAAACATTTTTTAAATTTGAACATTTTCTTAAACAAATTTCCTGATTCACAAACATTTTTTGATTTAACGAATATTTTTTTAAATGCATGATCATTTTTTGAATGCACGAACATTTTATTAATGAATAAACTATTTCGTAAGTCACAAACAGATTTTGAATTTTTAGGATATTTTTCCATTCACGAATATTTTTTGAATTGTTGAAATTTTATTCAATTTGATTAACATTTTTAATACACAATATTTTAATAAATCATAAATATGTTTTGTTTCCCAAATATTTTTTAGAAATATTTGAACATTTTTTAATAAGAAAACATTTTTACAAAGTCAGGAACATCTTTTAATCCACAATAAAATTATGATTTATTCAATACTTTATTTATAAAATCACTTTTTAAAAATTTGTAAATTATTTCAAGTCTTAAATTATTTAAAGTAGAAAAAAGAAATCGGAAAAGAAAAATGAAAAGTGAAAAATAAAATTTAAAAAGCAGTCTGTAGGACATGGGCCGGCCCAAACAGGCGATCTGCGTCTTCTCCCAACGCGCAAAGCGCGGTATAGGAGGTCCTTACTGCATGGACCGGCCCAGACAGGGGATTCTCCCTTGTAAAACGTGTTTTATCACTTATACATGGCATTGGTGGGCAATATTTTGCAACTTCTGGGGTAATTTTCATGATATACCGCCATAAGGAATAGCCTCTTTATTATTAGATTAGCAAATATGCCTGTGCAGAAACTTTTTTTTAAAAAATATTTATTTTTGTGAACATTTTCTAAAATTTCATGGATATTTTTTTCAGATTCCTGAATATGTTTTGAATACACGATCATTTTTTCAAAACCATGAACATGATTTTATTTCTCAACCATTTTTTCCAAATCATGATTTTTTATAATCTGCGAACAGTTTTGCAAAACCAGCAACATTTTTTGAATATTCAAAATTTTTATGATTTCCTAAACATTTTGAATTCCCGTATATTTTATGAGTTCTCGATTTTTTTTTGAAAACTCATAACTTTTAAAATTTGAAAATCCCAAATTAATTTAAAGTAGAGAGAAAACAAAATGAGAAAAGAAAAGACAAAAAATGAAATGAAATAAAAATAGGGGAGTGAAGCCCCGCCCATGAGCCGGCCCATGAACGCATACGTGGGGGAGGACATGTGTTAAAGGAGCTATGCATCAACCACTCTGCTGCTTGTGGGTGTGTGGTTTATATCGGTCTCACCTCTATAAAACAACGAAGCTGGACGGCGACTTTTGATCCGAAAAATTGAATCACTTTCTTCGATTATGGATGGCATAGTGGGTAATTTATAGCAACTTCCGGAATATTTTTTCGGACGGACCGCTAGATGCGATAAGGGCTTTATTATTAGGTAAAGATATAGAATGAATCAGTGAACATTTTATGAATGATTAAACTATTTTGTAAGTCACAAACAGTTTTTGAATTTTTTGAATATTTTCCCATTCGTGAACATTTTTTGAATTGGCAAAATTTTGCTTTAACTTCATTAACATTTTTTAATACACAAAGTTTCGGAAAATCATGAATATTTTTTGATTTCCCAAATATTTGTTTTAAATTTTTGAACATTTTTAATAAGCAATTGTTTTTAATATCGTGAAGACTTTTTGAATCCACCAATATTTCATGGTTTATTAAATATTTTATTTCAAAAATCTCATATTTTAATTTTCAAAACTTTTTTGAAGTCCCAAATTATTAAAAGTAGAAAAAAATAAAATAGAAAAGAAAAATAAAAAACGAAATTTGTAAAAATGCTGCACGGACATGGGTCGGCCCAAACAGGCGCTACGTCTTCTCCCAGCGCGCAGAGCGCGATATATGAGGTCCCTACTGCATTGGCCGGCCGAGGCAGGGTATTCGTCTGTATAAAAACATTTTTTATTACTTATAGGAGGCATTGTGTCTCCCAAAAAAACTTATAGGTGACAGTTGTAGGCAATATTTTGCAACTTTAAGGGTAATTTCTGAGATGTACCGCCAGGAGCAATAGCCCATTTATTATTAGGTATCGATATATGGTTCTAAAAACGTGCGAACAAGAGAAACAACAAGTTGGATGTCATGCCTACTACTCCATTGTTGAAAAAACATAGTATTATTTCGAGATGTTTGAATAGATTTAAATCTTCCTATGAAGCGCGGTGAGATAGTACATTTGATTAAAAGTAGAAGGTTGAGCGCGCTTCATTGCGTCGTTGGTGTCGTTGGATTTCATAATGTTTGTTTGTTATTTGGTGTTCACACGTGGGGAAGATGGCCTCTGTGTCTTTGTTCTTTTTGTAATATCGTGTTTTGGTGGACTTTATTGATAGTGCGATTCTATGGTATTCACCAACCAACTCATACTTATATGTGAAAGCCTCTTGCACTGCACTGGTGACCGCAGGTATCGTGTTGGTGCTACGGTGTCATATATTGGTGTTCCTTTTCTTTTTCTATGTGGCGAGAGGACATGGGGACCGGTGTGTTTTAGGTTGGTCGTTGTGGATTAATTTAAGAAATCGTTGATCCAGTCAAAATTACGAGTCAAACTCAATATTAAACACCTTAGAATTGATTCCGAAAAGCCGTTGACCTAGTTCAAATCATGAAGCAAATCCAAAATTAAACGCCGTTGACCCAGTTCAAATCATGAAGCGTATTTAGATCGAAAACCCAATTCAGTGCCCAGGCTCATCTGCACCCGTTCAAAAAAATCCAAAAAAAATTGTGCGTGAGGTTCGCTTCAAATTTCAACTTATTTAGACGTTTGAGTAGCTCTCAGCAAAAGAAAAAATCGGGTCAGAACAGTGTGTGAACAGTAAACTTTTTTACAGATCCTGAATTATTATTTTTTTTGCTGGGAGTTACTCAGATGTTCAAATGAGTTGAAACTTGGAGCGTACCTCATGCATAAACTTATCTACCACACACAAAAAAATCAGAATTTTTAGTATTTATTTTGGTTTTTTCATCAGGAGGGTGCAGATAGATCCTTCTTCATTGCACGTATATATAAATATCACACACAAGGGGGAAAAAAAGTTAGACGCACGTGGCGCTCGGCGCGGAGCACCCCATCACTCCTCCCTCGGGGCGCGTGCGCGCCACATGACGCGAACAACCGTCACATGATGCAACGCAGCCCAAACCCAAACCCTTCCCCTCCCCGCGAAAAAATCCCCCGCCCTCGCATCCCAGCCGTCCATCCGTCCCGTGCGCCTCGGGGCAGATAAATACCTCGGCCCGAGCGAACCAAACCCAGAGCCCCACCCGAACCCAAGCCCTCCTCTCCTCTCCGGCGGCCGTCGCTTTCCCCTCGGACCCCTCCCCTCCGCTCGCGCCCGCCCGCCAGCCCGCCTGACGCTGCCGGTTCTCCACGTCTCGCCCCCGCCTACGCGCTCAGGTGAGTTCTTGGCCCTTATCCTCCTCCCGCCTCCTTCTCCTTCTTGGTTTCGTCTCTCGTGCCTCTGGTTAGCGGGTTCTTTGGAGGAAGCGAGATTGTGCCCTTCTCCGCCGTCGTGGCCGTGCTTGCTGCGCCGCCGTCGTGAGATTGGGCCGCTCCGCCGTAGGGATGGCGGCTAGGCGATAATAGGGGGTTTAAATCTGTCTGTGCGGGGAAGGTTTGCTGCGAGACTTCTTGCTTTCTGAAGATGTTTGCTAAGATGCGTATCAGTCGATGAAAATTCCCAGTCTTTCCGGGAAAAAGACGGTTGAATTTTACGACTCTGTGGCATGTCGACATGGATTGTGGCAAGACCAGATATATTATTATCAACAAGAAAAGTCTGAGATTGTTGTGCTGGCTCACTGAAGCGGAACTAATTGTAGTTATGCAGAATAACTGAGGCAGAACCAGTTGTACTTATGCAGAACAATTTAAGCAGAATAACTGAGGCACAATTAATTATTATTCTATTGCAGAATAATTGAAACATAATTACTGAATCAGAACTCGATTGTGCACAACATGCTCAAAGAATTTCATTACTTGTTTTTTCTAGTGGCGTGTAAAATGAGTACTAGGGAGATCTTTGATGGGCTCTCGCCATTCAATGCAAGCATGAAACTGTGCAGAGATACTTTATCTTTATTTAAGATTGATGTACTCCTACTCATGATTGGGGAATACTTCAATCAATGTGCAGGTCCTTGTTGAGTGAAGCATCTTCCTTCCTTTTTCTGACATGGGGATGGAGCATCTGATGAGTGTCGTGAATCCGTCATCAGGTTAGCCACCAAAGGTTTCCATCTGCCAATATAGTTTCTGTGCACAGCAAACTGTGACTGACTGACTGTTTGTGCATAGGTTACATCTTACAAAGAGGTCTCGAACGCCGTGGTGATGGGACGATGGAGGAAAAGAAAGAGCTACAGAAGCAGAGGACAGAAAAAATGATGGAAGCCTACCAAAACACAGAAAGCAGGGATGGAGTGATCAGATGTCCAATTCCATGCAAAAGCAGCAGGTGTTTTTTCAATTCTTTGGTCAACTAGATTTTACTACGGTTCACACTCTGCATCTTGTATGTTTCTAAGAAATTACCAAATTTAACTATTTTGAATGCATATTGTTGCCTGAAATCATTTGGATCATCTAGAGTTGTCCCAATCAGGATTTTTCTCATTTGTATTTTAGATGGATATAAACAATATGCAATGATTTTACAGCTAGTACACACTCTGCTCTGATATGACATTTTCATAATTAATTGGGCTTTTAAACATCTGCAAAGTTGATCAGATTTTTCTTTTGAGTTTTGACATTTTGATCTTTATTAAAAGACTCATGATTTTTCTTCTTCTTTATTCAGACCGTACAGGGAGTATGATTTTAAAAGTGCACAAGATCTCTCTGATTTTATGGTGAGCAAGGTTAGTCTCTATCTCTCTCTCTCCTTCTCTGATGTTTGTGAAATGTGCTTGCACTTTCCAGTCATAGGCTATTTCATTTTGGATTGAACTTTCTTTTCATTTTTTATCTTTTGAGCTGTGCTGGAGTAAATTGTTAGCACAGCTAAACAAACAGTCTGACATTTTCTTGTCATTTAACCAAGTCCCTCTTAATAACAGTTGGTTTGACAATCTGCAGGCTTCTCCTCCATACTTCATGGGATCTCCACCAGTTCGTGCAAGCAATCCCCTTGTCAATGACAGGCAGTTCTGTGCTTGGAAAGTACAAAGCGTTGATGAGTCACTCGGCATTCCTATACCAACCAGGGGCTACCGCGTTGGCTACAACAAAAGGGGAGGGGCTGCTACAGAGGATTGAAGCTACATTTATCAGTTTCATGACCTCGCTGTGAAGTTGTAGTTGTAACAAGGGAAAATTGTACATAGGAAGTCATCACCTTCGGAAGCTTCCCGTTTTCGAGGTTCTTTGTGGCATGTCATCGGTAGTTATGTGTATATATCTTTTCGTTCAGTTTTGCGGGCAGCGAGGCTAGTTTTGGCAAAATAAATTTGTCAAACTCTGTTGTTGAGAATTGAGGTTTTTGTTCAGGTTTAATGGAAATGACAGCATTTCTTTAGTTTCTATATAATTGCCATGTTAATCTGTGCTGGATGTGTTATTGGCTGTTATGAGCTACTTTTTCGTCACGATAAACCATCAGCATATCTTTTGACTGTTGGTCAGTACAGCAAGATCAGGATCAGGTTTTGTACTTCTGAGCTCACCTTGTCACTGATACATACATTTCACAGAAGCTTTGTGATACTTCACCTCTCATTTGCTTTTGAACCAACTATTGTAACATTTGCCCCATCTCCTACTGACTCTTCATCCATGGTAATCAACACATACACTGTATTACTTTTGTCTTCTGTAAATATTCTTTGGCCTTGTCTGCCTGTTGAATTGCTGATCTTTTCTCTGATGCCCACCATCAAATTTCAGTGGAACTACCTGCTTGATGTATGAGGCCCCTGGGAAGTTCCTCCTTTCCTTTGCGAGTGAACGAAGCTCTGGTAACCAGTACGCGACATATTCGCCATCAGGATCGTATGTCTTGGCCTACAGAGGAATGTTCACTCATGGTCAGGTTGTTGAAGATATGAGTAGTGCAGATCACCATGCTCTGACATCATCATCTTATGGTTATGGTTATGAGGCGATAAGCTGATGCTCATAAAACCTAGTATAATTTTGCGGTGTTCTTATGTCGCGATGCTCACTTGCTTATTAATATATGCTGATGGTTTATGGTAGCATGATTAACTGAAGTTCATCTGGTAAAAACAAGTATTCAGATATTAGTGGTATTTAGTCTTGCTGCTTACTTGCTTGGGGATGCTGAAGTATCGATCTTCTCGTGGATCATTGCCAACTCCTGTTAATATTTCAGCAAAATTCAGTTGAATGTGTGCATGAGCTCCTAATTATATGCTATCTAGTATGAACTACCAAGATAGTAATGAGACACAAGGAAACACTGACCTGCTCCATATGTCCAATTACCATAATTTGAAGCAGGGTCATAATCCAGAAGGCATGTTTCAAACCATTCAGCTCCCATTCGCCAATCGATGCCCATGTCCCGGACCAAAAAAGAGCAGACAATCTGCATAGAAGATCATTGAACGATTGGCATATGCAAAAAGATGGCCTGCATTAAACTCTAATGCGCAGTCATGCTGATGATCAGCACTATGTCGAAAGTTACCTGCCGGCCACGGTTGGACATGAAACCTGTAGCTAAGAGCTCCTTCATGTTGGCATCAATAAGAGGGTACCTGAAATTCACCATGACCAGATTCAGAACTCAGAAGGTATGGCAAGCAGCAAAAAGATGGAACAACTTGGAGTATGCCGTACCCGGTCCGACCATCTTTCCAAGATTCGAACAATGCCTGATCTTGGCTCCACTTGGACGCCACTTTTCTCGGACCCCCTACAGCATTCACAAAAGGATTATGCTCTTTTGCTGGCCGTGACCTTTTCTCCAGATAAAACATTTGCGCATTATTTTCGTAATAAACTGGGAAAGCAAGAATTCAGAATGATACATTTTCTTACGATGAGAGACAATTGTATCCTTACCCAAGTGGAAAATGGAGTTCCCATATTTTGCTGAAAGGAATCTGAAGTAGTCTCTCCATATCAGCTCAAATAAAACCCTGAAACCATCGCCGTGTCAGGAACGGCATACCAGACAGTGAATCTGAGCATTCCTTACAAGACCTTCAACATGAAATTTAGGCCAGAAATGCACACTGACTAACCAGTATGTGGAATCATTTGCTATTCTCTGCTTCTCGTATCTCTTAACCTGCATTATCACCAAACATTTAGCACAGGAGAGAAGGAGCTGATAATGTCTGCAGAAAAACGTTAAATATCCACCTCTTCGCAAACATAGCGCGGCGAAAGACTGCCCGAAGCAAGCCAAGGGGAGAACTTGGTGGAGTAGTCCGGCCCAAGCATGCCGTTCCTGGTCTCTTTGTACACTTTCACCTGATCATTCTTCCAGAAGTACTCATGGACCCTTCCCAGCGCCGCGCTCTCTCCTCCGACGAAACGCATTCCCTTCTCTGACTACATAGAGGGGCAAACAGTACGAACTGTAACTGAAATTCCAGAATCATGTCCACAAAGGGTACTACAGTGGGGTACTGAAGATCAATAGAATACAGTTAACTGAACCTGCCTTTGTCACACTCAGACCCAATGACTCCAGAGTAGGTATCGAGCCCCACCCTCCGATCTCGTCCAGGCCGGAACCCGGGGCCGGCCCGAGCGAAGGCGGCAGCTTGCCGCAGCTCCGGACCGAGGACTTCGACTCGACCGCCTGCACGGCAGAAGCATCACATTTCACGAACAACAGCCAGCAACAGCCTCACCACAGTTTGCACTTTGCAGAGCAGTCAGGATGAATGGAGAGCTCCTACCTTTCTGAACTGCGTGTACACGTCCGGCAGGTCGCTGACAGGGAACGGGAGATCGTCGATGTGGTACATCGTCGCCCCCCAGACGAGCTGAAGCTTCGGGCTGAGAGGCTTATTACTCCGGCCAGAAGCTCCTCCTTGTCCTTGAGGGACGGCCACCTGCTCCAGGCCTCTGCGCACGAGGCGCTCGACCAGAAGCTCCTCGCTGCAGGTCTCCTTGTGGGCATAGACCTGGAGATCGACCCGGAGATTCAGTATCAAGCTGGAGCAATCAACCGGCTCGGTGGATGTGAGATTTGTGCAGACGGGCTAGCCTACTGTGTGTGCGCTGACGGCCTTGGCGATCGCAGGGAGGATGTCTTCGGGCTTGCCGTGCCGGACGAGCAGGTCGAGGCCGCGCTTCTGGAGATTCTGCTTCAGGTCTCCCAGGCACTCTATCAGGAACTGCGCCCTCAGTGCTGCAACGATCGATCAGTCAGTCGGTCAGTCGGATCAATCGAGCTTCAGTGTCGTCGATGCCGTGGAAATTTGCTGTGGTGTGGTGTGCCTCGCCTCCGGTCTTGGGGAAGCCGAAGCGGTGGGTGGCGCCGGCGAGGACGCGGGGGTCGACGCAGTAGACGGGGAGGACGGCGCCGGAGGCCGCCCACGCGCGCGCCAGCGCCTCGTTGTCGAGCACCCGGAGGTCGCTCCTGAACCACACGACGGCCACGCCGCCACCTCCCCTCCGAAGGCCCGTCGAGGTGTGCCTCCGGAATGCCTCGTCGGCCGCCGCGGCGGTCTCCTCGGCGCCCAGGGACGGCACCGCCGCCGCCAGCACGGCGCGCGGGGGGCGGAACGAGCAGGAGGTTGAGGCGGCGTCGGCCATGGAGAGGAGGGCGCGCAGGCTGGCGGTCGGCTGTCGCGGGAGGAGGAGGAGGGATTGCGCGGCGGCGGGAGGGAAGGAGGAGGCGGAGGAGGAGAGGAGGTGGTGGTGGTGGTGAAGCATTTTTCTGGACTGGGAGGTGAGGTTTTTGAGAGTTGAGGGGGGTGGGTGGAAGATGGAGGCGGGAGGAAGGTGGAGGGAAGAGCGGGGAGGGGTGCCACGTGGGGGGACGTGAGTGGTGCTACGTGGATGGATTTGAGCCTGCGGATATGGGTGATGGATAATGTGGGCCGGAGCACAGAGGGTTTATGAGGGTGGGCCCGGAAGGCAGCGTGTTGCTGTCATCATTTTCTTAGGGATTTAAATTTCGAAAATACAAGAACACAAAGGTGAACATGCCGCAAAAATGGTGAACGTTCCACTCACATGTGAAGTTCTTTTTGGGAAGGGGGGTACACTCACATGTGAAGTTTCGCGAGGTAACAACATCTGTGGTATTCTTGGCGAAGAAAACAAAAATGAGCCTCTAAATTGATTCAAGCATGGTTTATTTTATAGCGCTGATTTTATCTTTTTGCTCGGAATATCACAGATGTCATTTCCTTGCAAGACTTGCGAGTATGAAGTTAAGATTTTTTTTTTCATTTTCTTTAGTATTATTTGCCTATTTTTTGGGTTGCATCCAGGTTCCAAAAATCCACGTCCATGGACACTTCCCCTCAATGCGACGTGTGGAGAACATATCTAGCATTTTTTCTAGAAACACCAAATACCACCATAGGCCACCGGAAACTGGAGTCCAAGAACTTCGACATGACATTACGCCTTCAATGAGGCACACGTTTCTATTGCTTGGGGAGTACTCCCTCTGTAAACTAATATAAAAGCGTTTAGATTACTGCTTTAGTGATCTAAACGCTCTTATATTAGTTTACGGAGGGAGTAGTTGGTATTTCTGAGCACAATCAAATCGTTCTCAAACATACATTGAGAAAATGAATAAATCAACACAGCATGTGGTTAACCATGTGCTACGGAAATTGAATAAATCTTCCATTTTGTGTATCTGGTAATAAAAACTAGCTCATGGTATCTCCGGAACACACTAAATATAAACATACAAATACTTGACAAGCGAGCTGTTTTTGGTGCAACACAATAATGTTGTTGTGGTGGGAGGCAAAGTGAGCACTGGAGGAAACATGAATGAAACAAGTGCTCACCCAAAAGAAAAAGGCCAGTATATGCAAAAACAAGAAATGCATTCACAAGGAAGTGACTTCCCTGTCCTACACAAGTCTGTTGTAATGACAGACAGCAAGAACGGCGAGCAAAACTATACCTCTGATAAGAACAGCTTCTCAAACAGTCTTATTTCCACCTTTAATGGCTCGGCAACCCAGTGCACAACACCCTGAACGAACCGCGAAATAAGTCAGCATCTCTTTATGGCTTCCCTCAACTCACTAACTATAGAATTTTCAGATTTGAATGTAAGGATTTAAGTGACCAGTTACCTTAGG